AACACAGCCGAAGGTATTTTAACAACTACCCGTAGATATCCAATATCTTCAAGCCGGTTCGACTAATCCATGCATTTTGTTTTTCCATTTAAGATAGACACTTTGGTTTTGGATTTGGAAGTGATAAGATGGCACGTCACGATTGTGGCAAGAGTGCCTGCTGCGGATATTGACATTTGAATTTTTTCAGACCGCGAAAATGTTAGAATTTCAGGGGACTTTTGAGTCTCGTCGTTCGAACGATGAACATCCTTCCCGTGACTAAGTGAATGCGATGACTCACAAGTACCTCAATTGCATCACGAAAAAATTAGTGGACAGTGTAGTCTTGTGCGTAAACGTGTATCGAAACTCCGCTGTTGCCGCGTCGTTCTCAAATAATAGCAAGTCGACGACACAAAGAGCGAATCACCACGGGCACTCGGTCCGCGATCATCAAGCCTTCGTTCGATAATGATACGGCTATGAGAGAGGCTCGTTGCGAATTTCGCCAAATCGACGCGTCTTTCGTAAGGCCGACCTCGTTGGTGGCTTACATCCATCCCCCTCCGCTCCCAGTGCAAAAATTGCCGATCACTTTTTTCTCTCTGCGCTCGCTGATCAGCGCTGCCTCTCGACATTACGGCCTGTTCCGGGAAATGCACTCTCGAGCACGCGCTGCCAAAGATATGTCGCAAGTGTATTTGCATTTGGCCAATATTTGCCCCCGTCGACGAGGCGTTCGGCTCGCGATGCGCTTCTCTGGCCCTTTATATCGCCCCGAAAAAAATGACGAAATACGGGGCCCCTCCAGGCCGGCTACGCGCCCGGTTTTCGGTATATTTTTTCGCTGCTGCCCGTCGTGGACTGATTTTTAAGCTTTTCGTTGAAATCATGGCCTGCGGAGCTTGTCTGGCCTTTGTTTTTACGTGACTGATTGCGACGGATGCTTTATTGCCCCCCCACCCCACCCCACCTTTTACCCCCACCTCTACCTTTTTATAACGTCTTGGAAAGAAAGAGTCTATAAAATTTGATTCGCGGCGAAGCTTAATACTTTCGCAAAGATATTCGAATCCACGTATTGCTAGCAGACGGATTCTTTGATTATTTCCGTTGTCCGAGAAAGACCGGCGAGATACAATTACTTATTGTAAAAAATAGCCGAAAGATACGGCAAGATTTTTTTCAATTGTTCGTTGAACGCGAACAACGATCGAAACAGCGAGAGCGCAATAGCACTTGCATCACCTTACGTCCATTCCACCGAAATAAAGATTGCCCGTAACACAAGAGTAACAAGTCGTTGCGTAACTCGAAAAGAATTTCATCTCCGCAAATTCCAACGAAATCTTGAAAGCATCAATCAACTTCGCGCATGTACACCGAGGCTTATAAAGCCGCGTACGAGGAGGCCTTTAACCCCGTCACGGTCGAAAAGCCGCGTGAAGCAAAGTGTGGACTCTCAATCACACGTATTACCCGTCTTCGTTGCTACTTTTTTCTCTTCTTTCGTCGACGCAAAGAGGAGAAAACAAACGCGCGTGTGTGCGCGAGTCGCTGTCGAGCGCTCAATTAATTCCAATCGACTCGCACTAACTCTCCACTCTCGCATAGCGTAGGCGTAATCGAATCCACTTCGGGTCAAAGCACATCTCGCGAGAGAGGGAGAGAGGGAGAGAGCAACAAGTGCCGACGACCTTGATAGGTTATGACTGCACAACCCCGTAGCGTGCGAGCCGAGCTAACCTTGGCTGCTTTAATTGAAATTCGTTTTGGTCTGTGCACGCGCCAGTGGATTGGATATGTAGACGCGATGCTGATCCGACGGATTTATTTATTTATTCAATTTGTTTTTTTTTATGCGATTCAGTGCTCGCGACAAAACCTCAAAGATTTCAGGAAATCAGCACCGAGCCAAAAGCTAAGAGATATGCAACGTATAAGGGTTTTTTTCTGGCTATGTACGAAATGATCTAGTCGCAACAATCGGAAATGCTTTCATCTCGAATGAGCACGGTGACAATTTCGAATAATTTTGACGGAGATGTATTTAGGATGTGCTTAAACGAATGCAAAAAATATCCATAATTCACAGTACTCTGCAAACATTAAATAATCTTCTTTAAATTGGCCAATGCAAAAGGCACTGGAAATTTTATCAGCAGCTAACTAATCTAACTGCGCAAAACCTGAAGTCTTGTTTGCAATCAGTGACGTCGAGAAATTTGCATTTTGATAAGACGCATGCACGTCTCTTGCTACATCGATACCTGAAAAATCTTTCCAAATATAAATTGCGAATTATGTTAAAATCCAGCAGGAGCAAAATAACGATAATAATCTACGTATCACCACTGAGGCTTTATTCATTAACGTCATCCCTTCATACGAGGCACACACGGACCAGTTCAATGTCAGCGGAAACACGAATCGTTTATCTCGCGGCATCAATTTATCCTCGAAATAATTTCAGCGAAGAAATCTTGCGATCTTACTATCAACTCGTCATCGTCGATGTACAATATCGCGTGTCGCAAATTGAAAGGAGCCGTGCCTCTTGGACGAACAAGAAGAGCGGCGCGCGGCGAGGAAAACAAAGATGTTTTTCGGAGGCGCGCAGTCATTGTACTTGGCGCGAACGCCTCCGGCGAGGAAGATTTAATTACATCGATAGTGATCGAGCATTCTTCGCGCAGCGCATACATGTGCGTATACGCAGACGAGGGTCAAGAAACCTTCTCGGCGGAGCCGAGCGCCGCGGCACGGGGGGGAACAGGGAAGAGGGGGCGGAAGAAAAGCCGCCAGAAGAGGGAACCGAGGCGAAAACGCGCCGGCCGCGACGACGCGGCGCACTCGCGGCCGGCGCAATTACGCAATTAGCCGCGCGATGCAATCGACTTACCTCACTGATATCGCGCCTCTCGAGCGCGCTTATGAAGCGGCAATCAATAATGGGCGCAGGGGAGAAGCCGCCAATTGGCAAGTGTCCGTGAGCGGTGCGCCGAGAGCGCGCATTCGATTTCTTTGGCGAGCGGTAATGGAGGATCTAGTTTCCTCGGCGAAGATCAAAAAGTAACAAAGAACAAAAAAACGAACAAAAAAAAAAATGGACGCGAGCTACGAGGGAGAAGTTGAAGTGCAAGTCGAAGATCGCGCGCGTCGTGCACGCCACGCCGGAAGACGCTCCGCGCGCGTACGTGTGTGCACACATCGAGCTTCGGACAACTTCGCGTGTTCCTTTAACGAGTTGTGATTTTGACGTTTTAATTGCCGTGCTATTCGCTCCTCTTTTTCCCGCAAGTCGAGCGCCTGCTCTTAGCGATTCTTTGCGCGAATCCCACCGGAGGATTGTCGGATTTAATTGCTTTACCTTCCTTTCTTCTTCCTTCGATCCCCCCCCCCCCCCCCCCCACCCTTTTTTGTGTTCGCGGTTGTTGGTTTCATCGTCGATTGAAGTTCTGCTATATCGGAATCATTTGTAACTTGATTTTATTTCTGGGTTGTAAACATTCTTGGCAAACGAGGCTGCAAATATTTGATGGGAATTTATTGAGACATTTGTGCGCCGGTTTTATACTCAAAGCTACGTTCGATAAAATTGAAAGAGAAATAAATAAAGAGACTACGATTGTCGCCAATAAAGGATTGACGTCGAAACTGCAAATCTAGTACTCGAGGAAGGAAAGAGGCAAAAGTAAATCGCGTCTCGCGAGTCGCGGCTACGCGCTCGTCGGACGATACGACTGCCCGTCACATTCAATCAAAACACACTGGTTCGTTCGGAAGTTGGTCACTCGAGAAAAGTAGCCATCGAAAAAAAAAATGAATAACGAAGTGAAGCAGTCCGAGAGCAGGTGGAGCGACAGACCCCGAAAGCCTCCGCACCAGTCCATCCTGTCGAGCTGCAACCTAAATCAAAGCTCCACTATAAATACACATTGACAAAAGTTTAACGAAAAACAAACTGTCCGATGAGAGATCAGCCTGGCGGTGTACACGGCGAGTTCGGTCGTTTGCCTTGGCGCGCGCGCGCTGCGAGGAAGAGAGAGAGAGAGAGAGAGAGAGAGAGAGAGAGAGAGAGAGAGAGAGAACCCGATCCCGATTCCAGCGCGGCCGGTTTCCGGCGCGTGCATTCCTTTTGGCCGATCGGCGATCTTCGGCTCGCTCCGCCGAACGAGCGAAGCTGCCCGCAGCTCGCCTCGGCCTGCTGCTGCTAGCGGTTCACTGAGCTCCTCTCCGTATACCATACACCTTTGCCAGCCAACGTTATGCTGGCTCTACGATGATTATTATTTCGGAGTCACCCTCCTCTCTCTCTCTCTCTCTCTCTCTCTCTTTCTCTCCTCGAGTGTTTGGATTTCTGCGGCGCGCGAGTATTGATATCGAGGGTTTCTTGGGCAGCGGCAAACGCGCGTCAACTATTCCCCCTCCCCCTTTGCCCCCTCGAATGCTCGCCGGAAAATTCACGTTTCGCCGATTTGCTGGCGCGCAACGCGAAACTTGTCAACGCCGCGAAGATGAAAGGCCTCCACGGGGCGGCGCTTCCCCGAATTTCGCTCGAGCGAACGGTCGAACGATCGGCGTCGATGCTCTCGCGATTGTGCTTTTTATCGGAATTTATTAACGGCGAAAACAGAAGTAAAAGTGAAATTGGAGTAGAGCCCCGCGTGCCGTACATAAATCAAGATGCGATGCTGATTGCTCCTCTCGCTTGAGAAACTCCTGTTAATTGCCCGGCTTTCATGAGCGTAAAAGCAGTAGCAGCGCGATAACGACAAGGGGGTGGGGGAAGTCGACAATAATATTCGGCATGTAACAAGGTGGAGAGTGAGCCTTAAATATTATAGGTAAAGGTGTATAGTTGAGCGTTGGCCAAGAGATCGAGCGCGCGTCCCCTCCCCCGCTGTCTCGCTCTCTCTCTGTCTCTGTCTCGGAGTGGCCGAGCTCTGTGTTGGAAGAAAGAGCGAGCTGTGTGTGTGTGCAGACGGCGCAGCGCCTCAGTCGCGCATCGGCGCTTGGCGGCTTCACAAGCCGTCCAATGTTTTAAATTGAAATTCGCTCGTACTTTTTTTTTCCCATCTGTTTATCACTGTTTTTTATTTATTTATTTTTATTTTTTTTATTTTTCTGGGGGAAACTTTACGCTTGGTGTGCTAAGTGCGTCATTGCTGTTCCTCGTCGCCGGCGCCGTTTAGATGCTGATGTGCAATGTGCTAGTGTATGTAGTTGTATAGTCGGTGACACGGAGAGAGACGGAAGAGAGGATACGTTGGGATCGGCAAAAGGTAAAGATTCATTGATCGGAAATTTTCCTAGGAGAGAGAGCGAGAGAGCACGTGTTTTCCATGCCAACAAAGGCACAAAGAGAGTCCTACAAGAGAGAAAGAGAGAGAGAGAGAGACAGAGAGAGATGCAGAAGCCGGTCAGAGAGAGAGAGAGAGGCTTCCTCCAGGCGGCCGCCAGTTTCTCACGCCTCGAGAGCTCTATGTATCCGAGTTGCAATGCTGTTGATGCTCTCTTTCCCCCCTCCCCCCGCCCCACTTTCCGCGAGGATGAGTCTTCCCCCGAAGAGCGAATTTTTCGCCGCTCAACAGGTGTTCGCGCGCGCCGAACAAGACGTTGCGCTCGTTATTTCGGTGAGGAGCACATTTTAATCTGCCGCTCGTGGCACGATGCTAATGACGGATTTCTAGCGAATCGGCCTGAATATTGCTTGCGCGCAAATTACTCTTAACGCCATCCAGCTCGGTCGGGAGGCTCTGAATTTCATCCGACTGGGCGCGGAGACGAAACGCCCTTCGCGGCGTGCAATCGCGTCCTGCGGCGCGCCTGTTGCGTAATTTCGCGAATCCCCTCGCGGACGCGCCGCAGATGAGAACGACAAAAAATTACTTTATAAGCTTCCGACGACGTACGGACATCTTGGTCGGTGATGCACGCGCGTCGACGGTCAACCTATCGACTTTTTTCCTTTTCGCCGGGACCTTCGACAGACTAGATGAGAAAAATGCTGACTAACGCACCATTAGCCTACGTGTGCTCGTGTGATATGGTTCTTTTTCCGGTTTTTCGACGAGCTTTCCCGTCTGTGCGTGCGGTCCATCCAAAATTTCTTCGTTATTTACTCGATAGGCCAACGGCTTTTTTTCTTCTGTCTTCGATGCAGCTTTATTCGATTTTTAAATCGATCTATTTTTTGTCTCTTTTTTCTTCTTCCTTTTTTTTGGATTCGTGGGTGTTCCAATACATATTCGTTTCCCTCCTAATAAGCGGTGAGTTTTCTTTTTTCGCGCGATGAATACTCATTGGCAAGAATTTTTCCACTGAACCCGATTGCAGGTGATGAAACCTCCTGTTGCGTTCATTGAAGAAGAAAAAAAAAAAACAGCCGAGCTAAGCGTAAGTTTGAAATGAATGGCATACTTTGCTTAGATGGTCGAATAAGTGTTATGAATTGTATTATTATTATCTCGCTCGGGAGATCTCATTACGCTTCTGTGGCGCAAAATTTAAAAGCTACCGAAGTTCGTTCGCCTCTCGCGCGTATACGTACGTCCACTAAAGAACTCCACCGCTGCCAATTTATTATCCATCTCGGATCGTAAAAGCGCTTTTTTTTCTTTCGCCGTGCGTTATCGGGCTGCTTATTTACGAGCGTGACTCACGGCGTGTAGGTGACATAAAAAGCAGATTGCCTGTGGTCGGCCGCTTATCTATTCATAATGCTACCAATCGCTCGGATTTTCCACGGCGAGCAGAAAAAACGCTCTCGTAAATGCCTGCCAGACGGCCATTTTTCGCGAAAGCTATACGCGGCAAAATCCTCCAATAACCGTTATCAACACCTGGGCGGTCTGCGTAACACAGCGGCAACAGCAACGGCGGCGGCGGCGGCGGCGGTAGCAGCAGCAGCAGTGGCAGCAGCAGCAGCAGAAGCAGCAGCAGCAGCAGCAGCTTTCTTGGCATTAACTTCCAGCCGACTGATTTTTGCAGCAGCAGCACTCCTCGGGAATCATCGGTTGTCTGTCTGCTGCTCCACCGCTGTCCTTCTTTTTCATCCTTCTCGCTCTTCTCCTTTCGCGCGCTATCCGCTTAACGTCGAAGAAACGCGAGGCATTTTTGAGAACTGCCGTATACCTGAAGCATTCCACTCGACGAGGAATTAGACGAATCTTCATGCGCGGATTAGGCGTTTACGTCGCGAGACTTGGAAACAAAAGAATGCCGGAGCCCCTCCCCCCTCCCACCATTGCCCACTCCATCCTTTTTTCAGTATAAAACTGAAGCTCGCATACGCGGCAGGTGTTGCGCGCGGGCATTAACTTATGGCGGCCAGAGAGAGAGAGAGAGAGAGAAAATGATCCCTTCAGCTGCTGCCGTCGTATAACCTTGGCGGTGGCGCGGGGAATCCGAAGGATGTTTAGCCGGAGGGTTTTCTGCTGAGATATACTGTAACGGTGCCTTCGTAATTCCAATGGCGGATATATCGTATGACTTTTTTTTCTTCGAAGACCAAGGGAATGACGAAAAGTTGCGATTGTATAATGTCGTGCTCGGGACAATGAACGTGGAGTCCGGTCGCTGTATATAAAATATCGCGGCTAGTCAGTATCATAAGTCCCGGCGTTTCTTTGTTTCGACGCTTAATTCATTTCGCAGTAATATCCTCGACTTTCGATTGATCTACGCGGGCCACTTCGTTCGCTCTTCATTACCATCGGCTCGTGGAATGACCGATCAAACGATCGAAGGCTCATCCGCGTAGGAGATTAGAGACACTTGCACTTTTACGCGAGAGCTGAACGCGATAATTTCGCCGCGACAGTGGAAAGACTTGTGTGCGCATCCTCGTATTTTCTTATTTCTTCGAGAGGCTTACGTCAGATTTAATGGAGCGTAAGCGCGATGACGTTATTAAGGCGAGCAGGGATTTCTAATGCCAATGAAACTTTCGAAAAATATTCAGCGAGAAAATGGCGGAATCAATGTCCGTAAGGTCGCATTAGCTTCGGACCGAAAAGCAAGGAATCTTATCTAATATAAAGAAGCGCAATGTTCGCATAGAAACCCGATCACAACCTCATGAATACTCATTCACGCTGTAAGGCATGAATGAGAGATCGTTCGTTCATAAATCTCACGCAAACACACGTGTGTTTGAATATTCCAGTTTCTTTTTTTCTTTTCTCTCTCTCTCTCTCTCTCTCTCTCTTTGCGTCGATACAGGCATTGCCAAAAGAGGAAGTTGCCAGCGGGATTATTAATGCTCGAATGGGACTTTTCTCCATTCAACGGTATTATTGGCCTTTTCGAATGGAAAATGCGCGCGGCGATTGTCTCTGGCAGTGCGCATGCGAAATGTATTTTCACGCATCGACGTACGTAAGGAGCGCGCCACTTTGTTCGTCATCGGCAAAGATCGAATTGCAAGACGAATCCCCGCGGATGCATTCAAGCGGTCGTATGGCAGCAGGGAGAGCGCGCATCGACTCCGCACGCGGCTGGCGATCATCGAACGCTCTCCAACTGCCTCAAACGAGCTCCGACGCGCGGCGCGCCATTCGATCGAATTCGAACGCAGACGAACGGGGCAAGGTTGCGCCGTCGAACAAAGAGCCTCCAGCTTCCGACGCTATCGCCGGTACGGAGAGAGAGTCGCTTGCGTCGTCGGCCACATCTCGTCACTCGAAAGCAAAAGCCAATTGAAAGCTTTGACCCAGTGAAGGAGGAGAGCGCGTGCAAAAATAGCACCGTTACCGCGCACGGCGGCTGGCGCGAGGAGTTGCCAAGCGGTAAATCGACTCACCCCCTTCCTCCTAATTACTAATTAACGAGGCTCGCTTGCGCGAGCAGAGCCGAGCTTCGCGCGCGCGTCTCGTTATACGCGACGCGCCGATGAACTTAACGGTCGATCACTCCGCCACCGAGAGAATCCTCGTTCTCACGCGCTACTCTCCTCTGCCTCGCTCGCCAAACCCAAACTTTACGAGACGCCTAGCGTTCGTTCTTCATTTATTTATTTACTTTTTGTTGCGTTCTTTTTTGTTTTTATTTTTTCTTTTCATCGGTTTCACATCGGCGGGGAAGCCTAAGCTAATTCGAATTTTTCGCGACAACTCGCTTGCGCGATAATAAGCACGATCGAGCGAGCTAAACAGCCTTCAGGCAAATAGCGTATTTCGCAGCTGCGAGTCGCACGAACGTATACATAAAGTTCACTCGTCGCTCAATAAAAGATGTGCGCACGAGATAAAAAGAAGAAGCGCGGCAAAAATCTCAAATTCTCGTCGAAAGTACAGAGAGAGAGAAAGAGAGAGAGAGAGAGAGAGAGAAAGACGATGACGACGATGCCAGATAAGCTTCTCTCTTCTTGTATCCTCCTATATCCGGTCGGCTCGTCGTTGTCGTCGTCTTAGCGGCCGTATAATTTTCAAGTCATCTTTTTTTTTTGTTTTCTTGCGTAAAGAAAGCAAAGGATTGTTTGTGCATAAGACGGTGAAAGTGTAAGCGGAGGAACGCATTATTTTTTATTACGAATTTTATAATGACAAAAATTCTGGCGAGTTGTGTTGTTCAGAGTAAGGCGACAAGCTAAATTTATCCCGGTGCAACGAGAATGCACTTGGAAAGTGAGTCAAAATTCCATAATTAACTCTCACGCTCTTTGCGGTCCTAGTAAAGGATTTTGCGTGTGAAATTGGGTTCAATGCCGCGAATTTTAAGCGAATTGTACTCGACTTATGCGGTTTTTACGATGCGCCATTGTTGCCTGGTCGCGAGTTTAAATAACAGATGTGATGACTAATTGGATAATGGGTATAGCGTTTTAATAATTCGATGATTTACATAAACTATACCCACTAAATATTCTTGTTTAATCAGAGCTTCTACAAAAATTTGATCTAAATAGAAAATCGATACACTATCGACAATGAAAAATGCAAAATGAAAATCGGATTTCACTGGTATAAATGCGTTGATCGAAAGGAAACGCATTCCAAATAAGTCTTTTGTTGAACGCGACTGTCCCATAGACCTATTACACACTCGAACAATCCAATAAAGTAAATTGCACGCTAGCTCAAATAGACCTGCTTGCTCTGGTCTTGGCGCGCGAGTTCCGTTATTTACAACTCGCGGGAGAGAGAGAGAGAGAGAGAGAGAGAGAATTACGTCACATTTGCATGAAAAAAAAAATTGGCGACTCGCGTCGAACAATAAACCGCTGCGATTATTACGTGTCGAAGGTATACACAGAAGAGAATGTCGCACGCGCGTATTTCAT